CTCTCCCCCACCCAAGACCAGCTGGCAGAGTGCAGCCAGCCCATCCTGGCTCAGGCTGTGGAGAAGAGCGAGCTGTTTGAGAAAGATGCAAGACTCCTCGGTGGCTGCTCATTCAGGGGCTGAGTTGCTGCTGTTGTGAGCCTGAGCAAGGGCGCAGGCGTGCCCGTGCCGGCCACTCACCCCTCGACCCCGCAGGCATGAGGTAAGCGCTGGTGCAGGGTACCAGTGCTGCTGTGTCAAGCCATGTCACTCACACGCTCCTGAAGTACAAAACCAAACCTGCAAAGGTAAAAAGACCAATCCACTTGAGCAGAAGAAACTCTGGAAACACTGGGAAGTAGTTCGATAAAAACTACTTCTCCTTTGAATAATTTAGTTTTGACAAATAGAATTTTGACTTAAAAATACTTCTCAGAAAGTTCAAGATGAGCTTGTCATGAACTCTGCACAGGGATATGGAGGGATCTGCAAATTAAGTAAATCTGCAAACTAAACAGATATGTCAAATCAGTTCGCCTTTTCCTTTCTCCTTTCCAGACATTTAGCATACCTGCTGCTTAAAATTGTGGCATAACTTTCTCTCAGGCCTCTAGAACACTAGAACTAAGGAGAAGAAAGGGTAGGATACTGCCTTTCTCCCAACCAGCAACTCTTAAAACTTAAATTATATGCATATATATATGTATATATATATAATATACACAGATATATAAATTATGCAATACTAAAACCTAAGTGCAAACTAGGTGTTAAGATACCAAGGGCAAAGGAAAAAGAACTTTTATTATTAACTTCTATTTTAGAGAGATCATCCAATGCTGTTGAGCACTGTGAAATATCAATCCACTCTTCAGTATCTTACGTTGTGCATCCAAAATCCTTAGTACTGTCTAGTGAGTAAGATACTGTCTTGTGTACATTATGTTACTCTTAGTGCCCACATAATATTCTTCTGCATTTGACGAGGACTGTTTAAGAGTTAATAGCGCTGCGTAAGACCACTTCTCTGATCGGCAAACACAGCAGGATGCATTATCTTCAGAATTATGTTAGCTCTGGAGTTAACCACAGGATAAGGAGATGCCATCTCCGCAGTGAACCTCGTTTTAGCACAAGGTAAACATACTTCCCCCACATCAGCTCGTCTCACAGCATTAGTGGTGTGTCGTGATTGATTACCAGCAGAGTGTTGCTGAGATATGGATTTGTATCTCAGCTTTTTATCACTACAACTTGCAAAAGGCAGTTCCTTATTTACAGACTCTGGCTGTATTAAGTGACATTATTAGGTACTACTTTTGTTTAAGTGACACAAAGGCTTAGCATATTGGTGGTTTATGACATACAAGCTGTTTTAATCTGATGACTTACCCCTCACTTTTTCAATTTGTAAATAGGAGCTGCAGTACAAGAACATATGGTACTAAAGAAATTAAAGCTAAAGTAAATGGCATTAAAACAAATTCAAATATAACAATAGGATACTCAATCTGAATTATAAACCTGGATCCATATAAAGGCTTTTAAAAACAGGAAATAAAAACCTAAATATGAAAATTAACCTTCCAGGTGGGTTTTTTTTAAGACCATTTCAGGGGTTTACTGTGATTGAGTAATTTCCTTATTAACTCTCATTACTTAGAATCAGTAAATACATTTTTAATAATTGAAGCTACGTCTAAATACTGCATTACTACAATCAATTGTTTACCTTTTTGACTTTTGGGTTCATACCCCATTGCTTCTGATACAGCAGAAATGTTATGCATTCTTCAAGGTTTATCACAGTCAATAGTTACTTATAACTATTAACACCATCACCAAGCCAAAACCAAGAAAGAGCCCAGCAAAACTGGCAGCCTAATGCTCATATTCTGTACCGAGTATCAATTTAAAAGCAATTAAAAGAAAAATTACATTTTCCTAACTTTGCAATACTGTAGCAGCTTATTCAGAAAAGGAATTTTATTGTACTTTTCAAGAAAACAGAAGATTTTCCTCATTGCTCTGCAGATAAGCTCCAGCCCTGGCACATGGTCCAAAGGAAAGATGTTCCTTATGTACTCGACTTTCAATTTAAGCACATGCTTAATTTATACCACTCAATTTGATATGTGAAAATAGTTCCATCAGCTTGTAATCCAGCAGTGACTCCATCAAAGACAGTTTACTGACACAGCCTTACACTTGGGGCACTCTGACAAAATTAATTTTTTTCATATGATGTATTACTTCAGGTAAGTATAGCAGCAAAAGTATTTTTATACCACTATAAAGGCTTTAACATAACTGCCACTGCTGTAGTGCATTTCTACGCAACAGAAATATCTCTTTTCAGAACAATTAATTCAACGTATGTATGATTTTTTTATTTTTCATTTTTATTATAGCTTGGAAGGTTGGTTTGGGGTATTTTTTAATCTGCAGGTATCTAATTGGTTGTTTGCACCAATAAAGTATCTCATCTGTGTAATTTTATAGAGAAGAAACTGTAAACACTTCTCCGTTCCCCTGTCTATATCTAAGCCATCCTGAGAAATATATTCATGAATGAAACAGCACTGGAAGTAGGATCTGATTCCAGTTCTCCTAGGCTTCAGAGTAAGACTCATATGATAGTGCTTCTAAGCATAAAAAGTATCTCTCAGAGATTTCTCATTTTTAAAAAAAGCAATTAGTAGTCTAATACAAACAACAAATCTCATAGCAATTTCACTCAAGGAGCACCTGCAATTGTACCTTTCTCCAGCAGCGAGCCACTCCAGGCAGCACCTCTGGCCCTTTGGGATCCTAGCCAATGTCTTTGACGGTTTGGGGTTTTTTTCAGAAACGCCACTCAGGTTAATTCTTCTCAAGGAAATCTCAGCAAAACAAATAGCCAGTTCCCTGTACATCTGCTGCTGCTATTTGCTTTGAAGAATTTTGTGTTTGAATTACAAGTGCATAGCACAGTGATTCACTAAAATAAGGATTATTACCGAAACGCTGGCATGTATCACTTTTCCCCTCCCCGACAAGAACAATTTACTTAGTAAATAATCCAGTGTAAATTATAAGTATAAAGCGCAGATATCTATGTTGAGAATATATTCCTCTGTAAAGTGTCTCCTGAACAGATGGAAAGATCTACCTCTTCACAACCACTAACAACAGGAGGAACACAGATATGCACTAACAAATGAAAGCGTTTCCATTTAGATAATTTAATTTCTCTCCCCTAGATACAAGTTATGATGTAAGAACAAAGAGAACTTGCATGTCACTTCGCTCTATTTCTACACATTAGCATTCCTGAAAAACATACACAGGAAGGCAGGAAATGGACTTTGCAGTCCTCATCCTCCCATTCAGCTTACGTTTTGTATTAAAATTGAAGACAAGAAATCTTGCACCTAAGGCAGAAATTGTTCTGCTGAATATTCATTTGATTACCTCAGGGTTTCCAGAAAGGCTGACATCCTGTTGAGTATAAATCCTTCCTGAGCTTCCTTTCCAAGACTAAGACAAGGTAGGAACAAGATGCTCAGAGAAAAATCAGTTTTCATCTTCTGTCAGCATACACAGAATTCAGGTTTCCATTTTAAGTTGTTCTGCTCTGGAAATTCATATTTCATCTAAATTAATACTCCTGTAGGAGCCAGAAAATTTCTTCAACTCGCTAAGGTGGGTTTGAGTTCTTGAGGTGTTTTGGTTTGTTTTTTCCCCCTGGTTAAACAGTAACATATTTTGATTTGTGGAAAAAGTAAACACTCTCTCCAAACGCTCTCCTCTCCAAATCAAAACAGGGACCAAGTTCCTACTTTCAGTCCACGAATGACAAGTGTAAGCAGGACTTCCAGTAGAACTGGCCCTTGATCAGAAGGGCAGATCGGAAACAGGTGCCTGAAACGTGTTGTCTCAACGCTGGAGTGGAAGAAACAACAAATTCAACTGCTCAGAACAGGGTATGAACCATCTCCTTGCTTTCTGGTCCCAGGTCTTGACTAAATCCAGACACCGAATCGAGAATGTGCCAAGAATTGCCAAGAATTTTGCATTTTAGTAAGGCCAGCCGCTGCCCGGTGCCTGAAGGCATGCTGGCCAAGTAGGCTCTCTGTGGCAGTTCAGCTATCACAAACTGCGGTTGGCTGCAAGGAGTGCTCTGTAAAATTCTGTACCTTCACAGCACAGGACTGCAGCTAATTCCTCTTATTCTAATTGTGAAGAAGAAGTGGATATAAAGAGGTGAAAGAGCCTGCCTTGTTTTAAGATTCAAAGCATTTGTGCAAAGTCCGATGTCTCCACAAGGTGCTGAACAGAGGTAATGGTCAGACAGGCTTTGGAGAAAGAACCTACATTTTCTGTGATTTCTGATGACTTTTCTAACGATAGCCTAAAAAGTTGTTGCTGAAAACTTTTTGTTGCAAATCTTCCAAACTTCTGTTAAGTCTATATGCAAAAGGACAACTAATCATTAATTACAATTTTTTCTTTTTCATTTCATCTTGGTACCTGACTTTTCAGACAAGCTGGGAAAAATAATATTTCTCCAGCCATGCTCAGAAAATTTAAAATGTTGTTACACTGAAACATAGAGATACACTAAACTATAATTTTGAAAGCAAAATCCTGAAAGCTATTGCAGAGACAAAATTTTCACTTCTTAGTGTTTAAAATACAGGAACAGTTTTGCTTTAAGACCAAGCCCTTGAGTCTGCCATCTGTATTGCGCTTTATGCAGAAAATTTTATTCTTCCAGGGAAGAAGACCTAAGCAAAGGGCAGAACAAAAGTATCCCCTGCCTACAATTTCTATGGAGACAAAAAAAACCGAGAAAAACAGATTATCATAAAGAGAGTTTACAAGTTATATTTTTCTTTACATACACAGGAAGCAAGAATAATTTATGAATGCTACACTTTATCATTTATTCTGATACTCAAGTACTGCACATCCTTTACAGACTAGCAGGCCTACTTAAGGAATCATTAATTTACAAAGCAAGAAACTCTAATACTTACATAGCTGTGACTCTTAAGGAAATCTGAAGGGTTGCTTGTGCAGACTTTATCCCCTTCCAAGCCAATTACTCTTTTACAGATATTTGCTGTGGGGTCATTTGGGCTTTTCACAATTACAATATCTCCTCTGAGAGGAAAAAACAGAAACAAAGACAAGCAGAAGAACTCTAAGTACAAACTCTTTGGCTGAATGCACGTGCATAAATGTGTATACTCCAAAAATATTCATGTACATTACAGATACCTCCTGTTGAAAATCTAGACCATTTACGACAGATTTAAGACTATATTTTAATTGGCAATGCTCTGATGAAGTGAATGCCATGTAAATTGATCTTGTTGCTACATAAATGTCGAACAGAACAGATTCCACGTTCCTAAATGTCATTGACCAAGTGTTACTCTTCCAGCAGAACTTCAGATGTCTGAAGACCTTGTATTACTTTTGCCTCCTGATTCTATACGTTAGACTGTACCGTGAAACACACCATAAAGGGCCTTGAGCATACTGTGCTCTACAACACAGTAATAAAATGGAATTTGATAAACCCTACTTAACACCATTTGGTCACTTTGGTGCTAACAACCTACCTGAGCACAGCAGTGCCTACAGCTTGGTTTGCAAGTAGGACAGAACTTTTTAAGAGGAGAAGCTAAGGTTCACATAATAGAACTGGTTTTAGGGGGGAAAAAATTAAATGGGAATTTTTCCATTTTTTGGGCAAAGCAGTAGAATCGACACAGACACTTCCTGTAAAGTGACCCAGAATTCTAAATGAATTCTGACAAGTTGTTCAGTGGCCTGGACATGCTGATTAACTTTCATCAGACAATGAGAGGAGATTTATGAAAAATTACAATTTCAAAGCAGAATAATATATGAAAAATAAAGTACAGATAGAATGTGGTTATTGACAAGCTCTGGCAAATGGAATGTTAAATATCTAGTCTCAACAAAGGAGCATACTTTCGAATGCAATAAAAGTGGCGGCTAAGGTTCTCCGAAAAGACAATATCAGAATTGTGAATGGTTGGTTCCATTGAAGGTCCAGAACACTGCAAATTAAAAATAAATGAGAACAAAATTACTATTTCCAATTACTTTTATCTAAACCACATGCACATTCAAATTATTTGCTAATAAATTAGAAAAGGTGTAATGTAAAATACAGCTTAAAAAAGGGAGATCCTCCAAGGGACATCTGATACATTTAAAAAGTGAGGACATCCTCCAACTGTTACAGCTTCGTGTTCGCTCAGGATTGGTCCTGAGCTGTGCTAGGCGCTACGTGGAGCCCCAGCGGATTCATTTCAGCACCCATCTGCTTGGAATTATTAGAAGTAGCACTGGAAGCTCTGCTAGTTCACCCTTTCAGCCTCTCTAAAAAAGAATCGTCATAGAAGCTGCAAGAGCAGCTCTCAGCCAAACTGCCCCACGTCCAGCAGCAGTATCTGCTAGGTTTAGAACCTGGGGAGGAGGAGGACTGAGTATGAAACACCCAAAATCCACCAAGAGTTGGAAACAAGCATTTCCTATGGCATTACTAGAGACTCCAGTCTTTCTGGAAGAATGTACTCTGTAAAATGCGTACTAATGGTTTGTCATTTGCTTCAGTGATGCCTCATGCAATAATTTGGCAAAAAATACAAATACCTGAAGTAGAAACAACTTTCATGAGTGCTGGGCCTGCCTTCAAAACAACAGGCATTTATTAAATACACTTTACAGAAAAAGCTTTACAGAAAATGAAGAAACCTGAATTACTGGCATTATCGCATGTAAGTATTGAAGTTTTATTTTCTTTTAAACATCATGAAAATGAAAAGTTACCACAACAATTCCTCCAAGGTACTCAAAGGCACAATGCGCTATGCAGCCGTATTGCACGGTATACCCAAGAAATCGAAAGGTTTTTCCTAGGACATTGCGAAGCATGGTACAGTCGTTCAGCTGGTTCTGGTCTACAGTAAAACAGAAGAATGTTATTTGCTGGATAACAGACAACCTAAGAGTTACAAAACTAGCTTTTGTATCAAACAAAAAGATGGATAATATTTTTGAAAAAGTGAAAAAACACAACAGATATATGTGAGGAGATGAATATCATTTAAACTCAAATGCCATCACTAAGTTTTTAATTTACTACGCCGACCCTTCCACATGTACAATCAATGGACCCCTCTCACAAGTTTGCTAGTGAGATTCAGTTGAGTAGGAGCTGAAACAAAACAAAGACCTTGGCCAAACTCGAGAAATGAACAGGAGAGAACAGTGTCAGTGCTCTCTGCTGACTCAGCTGGGCTTCTCTTGGTCAAGAGGGCAGACAGGCCTACCTGCCTCACCACCTTCTCTCCGCTGGCTTTGGCTGAATGGAGTCTGGAAAGCTGCAACCATTCCTTTACGGGCAGGCTTTCACCTTCTGACTGGCCACGCACCATAACTTAGTCAAAAGTGCCTTTTGTTCCTTGCATTTAGTATTTATTTATTAATTGTTCCACAAAAGATGTTTTGGTTGTTGGGTTTTTTGTTTGTTTGGGGTTTTTTTTGTTTTGTTTTTTTGGGGAGGAGGTTGGTTGTTTTTAGTTTTGTTTGGTGTTTTTGTTTTGGTTGTGTTGTTTTGTGTAAAAAAAAAAAAAACAACCTCCAGAATAAATCCACTTAAACCAATCTGTGATTAAACATCCTATCCATATTGGCTAACAAGTTTCACAGTAACAACCCAAAATACAACAGAAAAGTCTGGAATTGTTTGTTTTGTCAGCACATGCAGTGCCCAGCACACTCCAGGCCACCCTGCAGAACCTGGAACAGCTTCTCTGCAGCCCAAAGGCACTTTCAGCAGAATTCAGTCTGGAGAGCCAGAAAAGCGGTTCGCTCTTCTCAGTCCCCTATGCTATGAAAAGCACGAACAAACTTCTCTCTGGGCCAGAAACACCGTGAGCCCAGAACTGCATTACAGGTGAAAAATAGGAAGCTGGAGGCACAGCAGATCAACCTGAGTTGCACAACGAGCAACCACGACTGTCGGCGATACTTCCGAACTGCACCGGCTAGAACGGCAGCCTCACATCGCTTCTCTGTTGAGGCAGACAGAAAAATACTGCACAAGTATCCTCTGGTTGAGATCCACGCTATTAGAAGCCTTATATGAAATACATTAGGAGAGCAGAGAATTCAGGCAGCTGTAGACATAACAGGTAAGATGGTTTGTATAAAGAATGCCTTACATGGGCCAGAGTAGGGAGATGCTGATTGCACCAAACAGAATGGGAATCACAGGCTCATCAAGAGAAAATGCAAACCTCTCCTGCCAGCAGCCCTCAGGCTGTAACTACAATATTTTATTATGAAATGAAGAAGTATTTCTATATGTCTCTGAAAGTAACTTTCAAACTGATTGCAATTTATTTTCTGTTAGACTCCAGATCACACGTACTTCTTAGTAGTCACGGAACACATTTCTGTTCCTGATGTAAAACTGACAAGGAGGACAGAACATGAGTAAAGAGGTCTCAAATCTTGTTTTCAGGGCTCTTAAAATAAATTAACCCACTCACCAGTCCCCATTTATAAATGTGGCACAACGGATTTCTTTATATTCTCAGGCTTTTCGGATGTTCATCATAATCATGAAAACATTCTTAGCGCTTACGTAAGGCTTTTTATTACTACAAGGAAGTTAATTTCAAATCAAGGCAGATACATATACCTAGATCATAGACATCATCTGAACCCAACAAGACAACTTCAGAGGACTGGGTTGGGTTGTTTTAACATTAAGATTCATGTTTAGAGATCTAATATTCATTCCACAGATTACAATCCTGAAAGTTTCCACGTGGTTTTAAGTAACGACTTCTAGTTAATAGGTGAATGGTTGTAAAAAGAGTAAGCCCAGTCAAAAAAAACCAACAACAAAACAAAACAAAACAAAAACAACAAACCCCACAACTCTATTACAGAACATGTATCTTACAATTGCTCTAGCTTAAGCATCAGTAATATAATTCTGCTTCCTCAGAAAACTATTATCAGGACATTTTTAAAACAATGTCATAGTGTTTATCACAAGAAGGTAAATGGCTGAATGTTTTTCCACATCACGCAATTAATTTTAATACAAAGTGCTGTCAGCAGGCAACTCCGCCAGATACAGCATAAGACCCTTAAGCACAATAAAACAAATAATTTAAGTCACAGGCCCTTTGAAAACTTAATGGATCTGTTGTATAAACATCCTTATCACAGAACTAATGGCATAAAACCTGTTGTAATTACTTCCACGTACTACCTACTATCATATAGTAGGTAGCTGAAAAATATATATTGAAAGACATTTTTATACCCAACCGACATTGATTACGAAAGGTTACGTATCTATATTTATCACATAAAATATAATTTGGTTATTTTACGAGAACAGTATAGTTTATCCCCTGCAGCACATAAAATGCAAAATGTAATTATTATTATCTTCTGTTCCTTCTTCCTTGCATAGCCTATGCCTTCATCATTTGATTTTTTTGTTTGTTTGTTTGTTTATAAAATTAATCACGGCTAGCAGGGTGGAAATCACTTTGAGCCTCATGAATGACATCCAAGAGATGGGAAAGGATTAGTTCTCAGTTGCTGCCAGTTATAGCGCCAGGTGGCTTTTTCTGCAGTGAAGGTGTTACCGATAATCCCATTACATTGGTACTAAATCTTGCAGACATCAAAATTATCACCAAGGTTCCTTTTCATCCCATCCTTTCCAAATGACTGGAAGTCGCTTCACCTGAAAGAAGTCAAATCCACATGCAGCTGCTGTTTTAGCAGCCAGCAGACTCCCTGAGAATGCCAATCGTGATCCAATTTCGCTGTGCTGGTGGCCCCCTATTCCCTGTCCAATAATACATCTGTTAAAAAATCCTACAGCTACAAATCAAGTTTAATCCTACCAGGGACCTCATGTTGGTCTTGTCTTCCAAAAAGGCAGCAGGTTTTGCCGTCTATCTCTGCTAGTGTCTGGGGAATACTCTTTAAATCCCAGCCCTACTTAGAAGAATAAGCTAAGGATCACAAAACATGACCTCAGAAACCCTGATATGACTATATTCTGACCCAGAGGCATTCATTCTAGGTGAAGATTAGAACTTTGCATAATAAGATTACACAGCAAGTGAATGATATCAAGGGACTATCCATATGCAGCCGCCTGGTTTTCTATAGCCAGCCTGTGCTCTCCAATATGCAGTGCAGACGAAACAGAGCTTGGTCTTTCTAGCTGAAATAAAATAGATTCACATAAATTAGTTGGCCATTTCCAGATTCCTAAATCCCCTATTACATCTTTTATTGACAGCTCCTGTGAGGATAGCGCAAATGGTATCCTCTTTGTATTCTTTGCTTCTGTAACAACTGCACTCTGAAGGAAATGTACATAGGTTGTCTAGAAATTAGCATCTTGTTTGCTGTAATCTTGGATTACAATTACCTGTGTACATAATAAAATTAGGAGATCAATGAGCAGATTTATCCTTTCTAGATAACCAATGGCATTGTGCAAAACAGTTTAACATATGGTGCCAAAATTTTAAACACAGGAGAACCAAAGCTGCAGCCAGTGAAAGTGTGGCCAAAAAAAAAAAAAACCTGACTTGGAGATTTTTTCGCTATAATAAAAAATTTCCAGTCACATTTGCTTTACATAATACTTCCTAATCCTGAATTTTCACTGAATATTTAGTGATAGCTAAGGAAGAAACAGATAAACTAACAGAAACTCCTCTCCCAATGTTCTCCACTTCTAACCAGATACCTTTCTTTACACAAGGTAATCTCATAATTTACACCATCTCTTTCCCAAAGACCTACTATGATTATTTATTTATTTTTTAAATCTAAAAACCCATAACAAAAAAACCTGCACATTAATTAGGCTATTTATGTTTGAGCTGTTGTTTATATTAAACTATTCTTTTAAAACTTCTACATGAAATTGACGTTACATATGCTAGAATAGTAACAGGTCTATATCATGTTTATTGGGAAAAATTATTCCCATATCAAATACACAACTTAATATAAAATGTTTTAAATATCTAATTATAATCTGAGGATTCCAAACATTGAAAGCAACACAAGGGACAATTTTCAAAAGGTCCTTCCATGCAGGGGTCAGGCAGAACTTGAGTTGTCTGTCTAGCCATGGGTTTTCTCTAGAACAAATACTGGATTCAGTCTGGCACACTGAAAAAACTTGGTGATATTCTGGAAGAGAACATTATTCTTCCACATTTTCTCTACTGGGCACTGACAGCTTGTCTCCAGCAAGTGCTCCTTCATCTGCTGATCTCAAACTGACACAGAGCTCAATCCTCTAAACATAAATTCACATAATGCAATCCTGTGGTGTTAAACACCTAGAGACTACCTACGTAAGAGTGAGCAATTTTTCAAAACAGATTTCAAGTAGTTCTCACTGGTTCTGTTTACCGCTGGGAAGTGACTCCCAACAATCCCACAGCCCTGTCTAAAATGCTGTGTTAATGGCCAGGTGCCTGCCAGGGCTTCTGTGCACTCATCTTTGCTGAAGAGCAACACCCGAATAGCTGAGCAAAGGCACGGCAAAGGCTGCACAAGGCAAGTCTGAGCCTCTCAGGGATGCAGAAATATTCACTCAACAGTTTCCTGTAACAATGTCCAAGTTCGGACAAATGCCAAAGCTCTGACAGGCAGCACAGTCACTTTCCCAGTGACTGAGATATACACGTATACACATGACGGGTCAAATAACTATGTTCTGAGCTATGTGAACTTACATTTTAAAAAAATCACTTTCTTGAGACACAGACAGGTAAACATTTAAAGCTCATTAAAATTAACTAAGACAAAGAGTTACAAGTCCAATTTTCACATCAGACACTTGAAATCTATGACCCTACAGAAACTAAATTTGTCCGTGGCTCACGTATCTC